AGAAAGAAGCGCTTCTCAGAACACTCTCGGGCTTTTCTCGGTGGTTGATGGGTAATTTAATTCTCCTATAGGCTTCCGCGAGCAGTCCGCGGTTCAAGTGTTTCTATCACGAAGAAAGGATCTACCTCGCGATTCCCTAATTACAGTACCAGTCAAACAGCCCGCCCTTTTATCAAACTCTGCAGCTCCGGCTACGTTGCGGTCCACCAGCCTGCTTTTGTTTCAGAAGAGACTGGGAAACAACTTCTGCCTCGGTTTCTGCCACCCACCGGTTAAACCAGCGTCTCCTGTTGGCGTAAGGCTCCCGGAGGGCGCCCCAGGTTGGAGAACTGGAGTTAAAGGATACCTGTCAGAATGTCGCCCCGCCCCTGCCCCTTTCTGCGACTGGCTTGCACGCTTTATGGAGACGTGGGCCGGTGTTACTTCAGAGAGGTTGGCTAGTTTGGAGCGTAGAGTCAGCGCGTTGGGCTATCCCAGTCTGAGGGCTCAGTTCCGAGTCCAGACTGCTATGCAAACTTTCACTAACTACGGCTGAGTTAACAGAGCGCCCTGCCGCAAAAATGACCCGACGCTAGCGACTCGCACCCTCCCCCGGCCGTCCCACTTCTTTCGGTTTGAGGTAACTCCTCCCAGGGGCGGACACCGGCGGGTGGCTCTCTGCTTTCCCGCGACCGGGAGGGAACGTGTCCAGACCGCCATGCTGACCGGGGCGCTGCTATTTTCTTCCTTCTCCCGCTTCCGGAGGGCTTGGCTCCCGCCTGTCCTCACCGGGCCGCGAAGAAGCTACAGCCAAGACGATGCGTTCTCGCAATACTTGCACCGCAGCATCGTCCCCACTATGCATTACCAGAAGAGCCTGCCCCGGTAAGGAAGTGCTTCCTCGGGAGACTGGGGTGAAAGAGCTGTGCTTGGTCTCCGGTCCCCGGAACTGCTCCCGTGGCCCTTCGGCCTGGACCCCCCCAGCTTGGCTTGTTTCGTTTGTTTCGTTCCTTCGGCTGGGCTTCTGAAGTGACCTTTGATTCTCGTGTCCAATTCCCTCCCCTGCTTTCAAACAGGAAGCTAGGTACAAATCAAGGTGCCTCTCCTTCTCCAATCCAATCCAATCTCCGCTGGATTTGGGGGAAGCCGCGAAATTAGCTTGTGTCCAGAAGCTCCCTGTATCTACTGTATTGAGAATTCCTTAGAAAGGATGGTACAGGTTCATTCTTCCTACAGCACTTGATACAAACTCTTCAAAGAGCACATAATTTGTTTCACCCCGTAATTGGTTTCTATACGGAAGCAGGCAAATCGGGCGGTCCTTAAGAGTTTCATGCTGGAAAAGTTAAGGTGTGGTGATTGATAGATTTCTTGCTGCAGGGCTTTAGCCATCATCAGAACTTGATCTGTGGGATAGGTGGGACTTCTTGCTTCTGCTTTATCAGGAACCGCCCCCCGCCCCGGCTCACCTTATATATATATATCTGTTGGGAGGAGTGATGAAGACTGCCCTCCACTTTAGGGGACAGCCTCTGTCACCCCACCTCATGGATCTGGCAGTGTTGGGGAGTTCCCAATAAAGTAGGAGAGTCTCTACTTGGATCCACTGCAGAGCTTGATTTGTGGGTGTAGGTTGCTGGATAGGGGTGATCTATCAGTGCCACTCTGCAGGTGTCACTCTGCAGGGCAGTGTAGAAAAAAATATGCCTCTACCAATAGGCAGGTTGGTGTAGCTGCCTTCACCCTCCCTCCCATGCAACCAGTTGAAAGCAGCCAATAGGATCCCAACCCCTGCTGAGTCATCACCACAATCCCTGCCAGAGTCATAGAAAATCATACAAGATTTGCATCGGGAGATGGAAAACACCACTTTCATGCTGAATCAAAACCCTGAAGAATTTAAAGGAGATTTGAAGGTCCATAGGATGAGAGAGAGAGAGGGAGAGATCCGCACTCCTATAATGTATACTATACAGTATAAGCCTTTGAACAAGATAGCACTGTGCAGAAATCCATAAAGAGTATCTTTTGCAGAACACAGCTTGCATTGAGATTAGTCAATGCATGTTTCTTCTGTACTCAAGAATAAATGGAAAACTATATCTACCCCATTTTGCACAGGGATGCTCAGTTATCTTGTGGTATTTGGATGCCTGATGCCAGGGACTCAAAGCTGCATAGAATGCTAGTTCATCAGAGACGGTGGACATGTTCTGAGTATTCATGTGAGAGTTAACTTATCCTCATGATGCAGTTTGGACCTAGATATATAAATGCTGTTTTTCTTGTTCAGTCATAGCAAATCCCAATGAGTTTGCTGCAGTTATTAATCTGAGGCAGCAGTGCTAAACTTTTTTTTACATACAGTACAGTATGTATAATGTGTGACCTCAGAACAAAGATTTTAACCTGTCTTAATAGCTGGATTGCACTGGCATATTCTGTGAACTCATGAGAGGGCAGGAACTAATCTTATTTCTGCATAACAAACTCTGAGAGATAGTATGAATTCTTGTTTAATTCAATTCCAGATTAAGAGAATGTACAGCAGTTGGATTGCTCACAAGAGTATCTAAGGTGAAATGTGAGTTGCTGTGTTCTAAATTACAGTGTGACAAGAGTTGTGTTAGGAGCTCAAAATGAGAAAGGGAGAAAGCAAGAACTTGCATTGCAGTTGGCAATGAAATAAGACCAGGATAAAATATGGTATGTAGGTGAAAGGTTAGTGCTAAAAGCAGGACATGATTCTCATCATTGCTATTCATAGTTAAATATGTACCTATTTTTTTATTTTTTGTGCCTTCAAGTCAGTTTTTGATTCCTGGCGACTGCCAGCTGGCTGACCTTGGGACAGTCACTCTCTCTCAGCCCTGGAAGGAGACAATGGCAAACCAAATCCGAAAATCTTGCCAAGAAAATTGCAGGGGCTAGTCCAAGCAGTTGCCAGGAGTCAACACTGACTTGAAGGGATGCATTTCTAAATCAACTTACCTAGGATCATTCTGTTAAGGTCAAAGTGTACTATTTTATTTAGTTGTCTAAATAACAGTGAAATCAACAGAGCATACTTTGGACTATGCCCAATATATTTTACTGTTCCTGCTAAATGAGTAACCCACATGTAAGTTATTGTGGCAAAAGAGGTATATCAATATATGGTACCTTAAATACTAACTTTAATGTTGATCCTGAAACATTTAAACCAGTTGTGCAGTATTCAGTTTCATTCCCCCTCTCCCGTTTTCCATTCCCCAGTTGTCAATATGCAACAGTATGCAACTGTTCTTGCTCAGTTGCCACGCTCAATGCTCATTAGTTTATTTGGGGGATTGGGGTTTATTTATGCATTGTACTTCTGCAGACCTATTGACACTATTGTTTTAAGTCTTGGGGGCATTTTTATCACGTAAGAATTGCTTTATTATAAGTCCTGGTTAATAGAATCTCTCCTTAACTTTGTTTCAAAATTAGTTTGCTCATTTCAGAGTAGCTGAATACTTGATACAAAAATGTATTCAGGTAAATATTAGCTAAAGGTTAATTTATCTGAGAGGATTATTAATAAATTATGCATAAATATAAATACAGTAAGCCTTAGAGCTGCTTTCAGGCTTGTGTTTAACTTAAAAACTGCTTGACCATTTAATCTATCAAAAATGTTTTTCTTGAGAGTTTATGATAACATGTTTTAACCTTATAGGCTCAATATTTTATTCCTCTTATTAGTTTGCCCATTCCAAAACTTGAAGATACAATTAGAAGATACCTGAGTGCTCAGAAACCTCTTTTGGATGATGATCGATTCAGGTAGGAACAAAGTTCCGTCTCTCTTATATCTTGTTCAGTTGCCTTTCTCAGCCTGGTTGCTCTGCAGATGTGCTGCACTACAACTCCCATTCTCCTGACTATTGGTTGTGCTGGGTGAGACTGATGGGAGTAGTAATCTGACCAGTCTCAGGAAAACTTGCTAGGTAGCACTGACAGAAACCTTCTCTTCCCTTTCCACTTCAGAACAAAGAGTTAACTCAAATGCAGATCCAAATACTGCAATGTGGAATTAATGATACTTTTTAATTCTTAGCTAGGAATTTCACAGGGACAAGGTGGGGAAGGGAATGGGGTCAGCTCCCCTGGGTAGGTCAGATGAGAAAATCAACTCTACAAGAAGACTAAAACCACATTTATTGAGATTGACTATAACAACACAATCTTACAAGTCTGATTGTGCTGTACCTCCTCTTCCTTCTTATACTTCAGTGAATTAGGGAGGTATCCGGCTGAGCCTCTTCCAAATGTCATCTCATACTCTGGACTTAAAAAATGCTTCAGCCCCTTTTGCCTAGGTAATAGTTCTTGCATATCTCAGTCAAGGACATCTTCCTCACTCTCTACAATGGATCAGGGTAGCACAGCACTGTTATCCAGCAGCATACTTCACATTTTCACCCAAAGTACTGTATCAGAGAGATATACTAAATTTCTTTCTCCTCTTGTTTCTTTTTTAAATGCAGGAAAACTGAACAACTTGCTGGCAATTTTGGGAATGGCATTGGTAGAGAATTGCATGATCAGTTGGTTGCAAAAGACAAACAAAACAAACATACTAGTTACATTTCAGGTAGGAAAATAATTGTGAAATGTTGCTTACATTCTGGATGTCTTTTCCTCAAATTGCTCAGTTAAGAACCAGTTCTAACCTGGCACATGTCAGAGGATGGATCTTCCTCTTCATTAACTTGTGCTGAAGCCACAGGTCTGAGACTGGTTTTGGTGCTCATTTGCATCTTTGAACAGTTAACATTTCCTTTAGGGGTGTGCATGAAATGGAAAGTATGCTTCCTTTCAAACCAGGAACAAACCTTTGTGTTCCAGAAGTTTTGCTGAACCATTTCAATTAATCCATAGTTCAGCAGAAGTAACAACTGGAAGGTTTTGGTTGTTCCAGGTTTCAGACAAAACTAAATCTGGAGGGATCCTGGAGTGATTTTGTGTGAATAGGACCTCCTCTCTCCACTCCTTCCCTTGGCAGTTCATAGCATGACGTATCCAACTGACATGCCCCCCTTCCCTTCCCTTCCTTCCCTTCCCTCACTGCTTACCCACTCCTCTAGTCTTCCCAGTGTCTTTCCTCCCCTCACCACTGTTGATGTCCTTGGCTGTTTTTCACTCTTACCTCTCCTAATCACTTCTGCCCAGAATGACTGCATTATAGCCTAGACTTAACATTCAAAACAATTGTTTCAATTTGGGCTATCAGAAACCATCTGTTCTATGCATGGAATTTATTTGGACAATTTTAGTTGGTTGAAAGCTGAATGTATGCCACCACAAAGCATTGGGTTGGAATTAGACTGAAGCCACAACCCTGGACCCCAAGAATAATTTCCGAGGGGACCTATAGGATACATTAGATTCCCTTTTCCAGTTCTAGAGAATGGAAGGGAACACAGTGAATTGGTAGAACAAACATCTGTTTTCCATATAGATGGTCCCAGGTTCAACTCTTGGCATCTAGGAGGAAAGCAGGGTGACCTAATTTACCAAGTAGTTGCCTTTTATTTACTTGAATACTCTTCAAGTAGTGAAGGAGGAAATGAGAAAGGAAGGTTTAAAAAAAAAAAAAAATTATTATGGCAGTGGTTCTTAAACTGGGGGTAATTTTGGGCATATTCTGGGGGTAATGGAGCAATTTATAGTCAAGGATCCAGTATGGAACTGCTGCTGCAGAGATGCTTGTATAAAACAACACTCTTGGGTTTTTTTGTATGTGTATGGGCAATGACATTATTCAAGACTGGGAAAAAGGCTAATTGGGTCAAACAATTTAAGAACCACTGTATTATAACATTCACGTACTGCCGGCTCCATATGGACTCCTGGTGCTTTACAAGATTGTGCCATTCCAAGAAAGAAAATATATGGGCTGTAGAAAAAAAGTGATCATAGTGACTTAGTGACCAGAACCAACAGAATAATAATCTGTTGCAGGGTGCTAAACTTTGTGGTTTGGGAAAAAAGAACGGTCAGGATGAGAGAACGAAAAGGAAACTTGCTTCAGCAGATGGGAGGAATATCAGAACATAAAGAAAGGAGGCAGCAAAAATGGGATAAAAAATGAAGAAAGAGAAAAAATAGAAGAGCAAGGAAGAGAACATTTATAGAATTTAGATTAGTGAACTTTATTTATTTAGCCCCGCCTCCCCATGTTTTCTTTCTCTTACATGTATGATACAGTGGTACCTCGGGATACGAAA